TTTTTATTTACTATATAAAAATCTAATATACCACGTAGATCATATGAAAAATGATCTACGTACACCCTACCCTTAATGTTCTGAACTACAGTAACCCAGTTCTATTTTTTTCTCTCACCATACTCAAAATTATAGATTGAAACTGCTTTTAAACTTTTCTTAATGATGAATACAAATATAATTTTAGCCTGGAGCTCTAAAGAAAATTTGAAATAATTTCTAAATATGTTTTGTTAAAAACCAAATTATTATATATCTCATTTTATTAGCAAAATTCCAGTATAGTACTACAAGTAGAGAGAACATTTTTCTAGAATATACATAGTTAATTATATGAATAAATTAAAATATATATATATGTGTATATATCATTATACATATGTGTTAAATAGGTTTAAAAAAATACAAATTTCTTAAATACAAATTGTTAGCAAGGTTATGATTACCCTTAATACATTCATCCTTTTTACAATCATATACAAAATATACTGTATTGACTGCATTTATTATACCAATTAGAAAAATTCTTCACTACTGATTTGTTGTATATAGCCTGTATACCGGGCAATCTAACTTTTTTTGGTTTGTGTTTTCAAACTAATTAATAATAATGAAGATAATGTTATTTTTATCCTTTCGGTCACAAAATATTAAACGATAATTGCAAAACTTTCATCATCTTTGTTAGAAGTAATTGAAACAACATCTCTAACATGTAAATGGCATTGAATAGAGGTACCATTTTCTTCAATCAGGAAACTTGCATACTCGAAGAATAATAGTGAATTATTCCAAACTGCAAAAGAATATCTTAAATCTTCATAGAATAATTCTAATTGCACTTCTAAATCTGAAAGTATTGACCCCTCAATATTTTTTCGTAGAATTCACTTTTTTAATGAAATCTTAGTATATTTATCTAATGAATAGACTATAAAACAATTAGTGAGTTAAAAATTATTTTTATTCAAACAACTAGTCATACCTTCATTTACATCATTCTCAATATTATCAGGTTTCTCAAATACAAACCAATTATTTTTTAAATACTGTAAATGTTGAGAAAAGTTTAAACCATTTCTTGTTAATGGAAAGCACATGTCTATACCTTCATCTAGTAAATGACATATTGCAAACAATGTACTATAGTGTTTTAATAGGTTCAAGTCTATATTCTTTCGATTTGTTTGTGAAACAATGTTCTTGAATATTTGATACATCATTTCTTTTGTTTCTATGCTAGTATTCAACAAATTTGCATAATTCTGAGCATGTTGAGTCATATAAAAATTGATATGCAAATTTGAAAGATTTTTTGAAGTCCTTAAATAACTATTACCAATAGTAGAATCAAATTTAGCTATGAACATTCTTAAATTTTGCATAGTAATCTAATAATAGAACTTTTAATAATAGGGAATTGTTAAATATTTTAGATATTCTATAGAATAGGTGGGCAAACTCTGCAAACTCTGCAACTCCACTATTAAAAAATTAGTGATTACTAATCATTAGCGAAGCATATTTCTTATATTGCCCACCTATTTTATAGAACATCCAATATTTTTAAGCAATTAATAATTAAATTACCTAAATACATAGAAAGCATTGATAGGATAATATAGTATAATTGGCGATGAAATAATTTTAATAATTAATTTAATATATACAATATGCAGATTAACAATTATGCTAATACATAGTGATAGTTTTTAGGTATTTGGTTTCAAATAATGATATCGATATATACATAAATTTTAAAAAAATAACTATAATTAGTAATACCTGCACCAAGATTTTCTATTTATTATCTAAGCATTCTCACAATTCATTATAATCTTCCTTTGAAAAACACTTCTTAAATAAGATCCTTGTTGTCTTCGACACTATTATCCAACACTTTAGTCAGGCTTTTATGACTAAATCATTATGTATAAAATCTAGTCATTGTTGTAATTTGTAAAGTTCAGACTGTTTAAAATATTGAGGTCTTAATAATCTATTAATAATAAAAGGAAACACTATAGCCAATTTTAAACAATCAGACATCATAAAACTATTAATATGTGAAACTGAATTTGGCATTTTTAACCAATTTTTTGGATACTCAAATGATTTCCAGATCGTAATAAATGCTAATTGTCTTTCTGTCGAAAGTGTATTGACCGTTATTTTAAGAAGCCTCAATACTTTGCCGGATATTATATGATATACATCATGTGGTGATTGAAGATGTCTTTCTATAGTAATTTACTTAGTATCGGAGGATACAAGTGCAATCCATATTGTGAAAAGATTTCTTTGCGTTTAGTTATTGTTGATGCTGAAAAAATATTTTCAAATTGTTTAGTCATTAAATATTGATAACGAGAGCTTATCAACAAATCAATATTATTAGATATCCAGTAATTTTGTTCTGTACTGCAAGTACAGCAGTCCTTTTTGATATTATGTCTTTTAACTTCAACTAAATCATTGCTCTGTGGCAAATCAGAGATAACATCTCCAATACTTGCGATTACAAAGCTTTTATTACTTTGCATATCCATTATCTTTCTCTTTTCAAAATATTTTATCTCAGCGATGAAGGGTTTAATAAATTCATTAAATGAACCACCAAATAGTACAAATCCAAGTACAAAATAGTTCTTAAGTTGTTTTCTTTGATCAAAGAGCATGTTTTCTATCTGAACATAGACCCCATCTAACAAATGATAAATATTGCGAAATGTTCCAAAATCATTGTAGTAGATATCTATATACAATTTATAAATTGGTAGATTCGTATTATTTTCTTTTAATGCAGCAAATTTTGAAGGATGCAGATAAGAATATGTTACATTTCACAATTTCCATTTTTTATTGTACTTATATAATATTTCACGAATTATAATTGAAGAAAAGTTATTTATATCACTATCATACAATATTGTGATTATAATACTTTTGACAATTGCTTGCAATTTAATAATAATAATTGCGTTATCCACTTCTTGATCTAGCATCTATACTTTGCTATTCAATAATCTTTCTCTATGACTATTACTTTGCAGATTTATTGGCAACTCTTCAAATGTCAGAATGTATTAGATATTAATCTTAATACTACCATCTTTTTGAACTATTGACAAAATATGGCTGATTCTTTTTGTAGATTTTCTATAAACTACAAAGTCTCCAGAATAATATTTTACTATAAAATAGAATATATTACTTTATAATGATCTTAAAAAATTATAAAAATTAAAAGTTAAAATGTAAAAAAAATCACCTTCGCCTATGCGACAGACTTACATCCAAACCTTGGTGACTCTTTCCAAATTTTATCATATCAGAGTTCATAGTTTTTTGCAACTTCTTGGCCTGAACCAAAGTACATTTTATTGAATAGTAATAGATTGTTAAGTATATGTCAAATGATATCTGAAATAGAAAAATAATATACTTTTTTTAATTCTTTGAATTCGATGTGATTTAATTGGAAGTAAGGACAATCTCTGTCTATACTTTCTAAATCGTCTAATGTTTCTTACAATATTTGTGTTTTTAAATTGTAGATAATAGATGATATCCACTAATTCATCATATGCTCAGGTAGCTAATATTAAAAAAAAAATTAAAATAAAAAATATAACAATTAAACGCTTGCAATTAACAAAATTATTTTAACCTATGTATATTATATTTCTCAATCTAACAAAACATTAATGCTTCGGTAATATTTTTGAAGTATAGTACAAATTCTCCATTAATAGATAGCATTTTTTCAGTATTTAATGATTTATCGACAATTTCTTCATTAGAACTGTCTTCGTCAAATACACTATCACTTTTTTTCGATATATCATCAACTTTATTTAATATATCAATACCAAAACTTTCATCAGAACTCTCTTCACTCAATATATTATTGTCCAAATTTTCTTCACTTAATATATCATCATCCAAATTTTTTTCATTCAACATATCATTGTTCAAATTTTCTTCATTCAATATATCATCATCCAAATTTTCTTCACTTAATATATCATTGTCTAAATTTTCTTTATTCAACATATCATTATCCAAATTTTCTTCACTCAACATACCATCATTCAAATTTTCTTCACTCAACATATCATCATCAGAATTCTCTTCACTTAACATATCGCCATCCAAATTCTCTTCACTCAACATACCATCGTCCAAATTTTCCTCCCCCATTACAGTCTCGGATATTACCAAATATAGAAATTGATCTACTATTAGTAAAAGACTATTCTAGAACTGATTTATATAGTATTTTTGTTTTTTTTTAAAAAAAAAATCATTTAATAATAAACTCTCAAATTAATTTTAATATAAATTGTCCTATGACTATGTAGTCTAAAAATCTGCCATGATCCCAACAGCTTTAAAAGGTAGTTGTTTATCAAATAAGAAAACAAACGGTGATTGATGTAAATTTAATCTCAAGGATTTTCATAGACTAGTCGTAAACTTAAATAGAAGTCTCGAGAATTTTCTAATCGTACAAAAAAGGGGTGATCTGCAACATCCAAATTTGGTAATATCTGAGACTGTATTATCATTCTATTTATTACAATAATGAAAATAAAATGCTCTAATGCTAATTACCGCTAGATTGTTAGTAACAACCATGTATTTAAAGATTGAAGCTATATTAGGTTCGAATTCTCGTACATTTACTTCTTGCATTAGAGTCTTTTTCGATTTGTTCGTATTTTCTTTAATCCTTCTGATAATTTTCTTTATCAATTTTGGCTGATGACAAACGAAGCTTAGACTGTTTAGTCGATAATGACATGTTCGGATGAGTCTTTAGATCCAATACGTTGAAAAGACCCTCCACTTGTTGCTGGTGAATGATTATAAAATATATTCGGGTCTTGACAAAATTATATAGATGTAGAAAATTATATATAGGTGAATTATCCTCAGTGCAGAATTTCTCGAATTCAC